GCAAAGGGGCCAGGCTTAGCGAGCTCTCACACCTCACTGGCCCAGAATGAGGGCAGGCGTTGCCCCATCCTAAGGATGCGGGCACTAAGGTGCATGAAGAAGCAGTGATCTGTTGGGGTCAAAAATAAAGCCCGTTGCAGAAACAAGAGCAAGGACCAGGAGTGCTAGCTGGCATGCCTCTGCACTCACCATTACACCATACTCCCTACCCATCTGGAGTGGAGCCAGCGTCCTGCCCCACCACTGGCCCTGCTGTAAGCCCTCTCCCACACTCCCTCTATACCTTGGAGGCAGCAGGCAGGGTCCCAACCTGTCCAGAAGGGAATCTGCCACCCACACAGCCCCACTGAACAAGCAGAGGAGCCAGCTCCACCGAGGGCTGGCAAAGAAAGCATCCTGGGCTCTGACAGGCAAGTGGGATCATGAGAACTGCGTTTAATCCCCTGCCCCAGGCACTGGGCCTTTGTGACCCCCAAAAGGAGGTCGACTTGGTCCTGCCCACAGCTGGACAGGAGCCGACAGAGCTTGTGCACTGATCTGTGCAATAGCCACGCTGAACTATAAATGCTCCACAGTGAAGACATTTTAGGCCACATCAGTGGGGGCTGTGACTGCTTGGGCTCTCCCCAGCCTTTAGTTTCAGCTCCAGAAGATGTCTGCCTCTCAGCTGAGGACCAACAATGAGGCCAGAAAATGCCTCCCCTCTGGTTTCTGTGGTTTCAGAGCCCCCCACAGCTAATGGCTCAAACCCACGGCACCCTGGCAGTCTCTCATCTAAGTGCTAGCCAGGCTGAGCACTGCTTAGCTTGGAAGGCAAGCAAGAGCAGGTAACATCAGTCTAGGAGAACAAGAGGGTCAGCATGAATCACTCATAAGCTGCCAGACCCACATGGATGTAATTGAACACCACCCTGGTGGAGATTCAAGGTGTAAGGCACCCTCCTGCATAGGGAAAGGGTCAGTCTGTAGAAGTCTGCCACAAAGTAAAACCCAGGCTGGGAAGGGATTGCCATAGCACAAATCGTGCTACTGGTCACTGCCTGGGCTGGGGCTGTGTGGTTCCTGCTGATGTAATTGGAGAAGTGAGTAAGCAAAAAAGAGAAGGGGCACAGCGAAATAAGTGAGCTTGAGCAACAGGCCTGCTCCCCACACCTCCCGCCCTTACCTGCCACATCCAACCCCTCTCCAAGGAGAAGCCGTTTTGTCACACTGGGGGCTCCAGGAACATGATAACTATCGCCCACTCAAGCCTCCTGTGTCCGTAGCCAGCCATGCTGCCAAAGAAGGGCACAGGAAGGTCTCAGGAAGCAGCCATCATCCTCCACCCCAGAGCTGGCTGCTTTTCACTGATGGGTGTTCCTCTGAACAGCGTATAATTCAAGATATCATGGCTACTATTGTTGGTACTATGTGTTCTATAACACCAAGTAAAACCCTTTTTAAAAGGAAGTCTATAGAAGTAAGAATTAATAACCCATAACACCACGGCTGAACATGGCACTGGGAAAAGCAGACACGGCCCCTGCTCTTGACAGAGCTGTCAGGAAGAGGTGGATGAGGACAGGGAGGGCCAAGGACCCCCCGTTTTGCTGCAGACCTCTTCGGTGGCCCTGGGCAACTCACTGATGCCTAGTGATGCTGAGGTGCCAGTGAGCCCTGGAGGCTCTCACGAAGGCCAGGGCCCCCTTGCACTGGGCATTAACGAGAGACTCCCTGCCTGGCACAGCTTGACTTGCAAGCCAGGAAGGCAAAGGCAGGAGGGAAGACTACTGCCCATAGTCATGGAGTGGAGAGCAGGACCCCATTTCTCTTGGGGAAGCAGACACAACACGAAGAGCAATCCCCAACCAAAGGCACCATGAGGGGAAATGCTCCGCAGGGCATCACAGCTGCCTTCTTGACACAACCTTGGCATGGAGCATGGGCTGGAAAGAGCACAAGGGCCAGGATGGGAAAGCAATCAAATGGCTATGGATTTTCCCCAGAGACAAGCCTGGTTCTCTGGACCAGGCCCCATCTAACTCATGGGAACACAGCAGGCTGTGCTCCAACACCAGTGCTTCCTGCTTTCATGGGGAACCATATTTTCACCTGGCACCAGCATTAACACCTGGTCTGTGCTGCTTTCTGTTCCAGGCTCCCCAATGTGCAGGGCTGAGAAATCTGGGTTGGGATTGCCAGTACCCCCAATGGAGAAATCTGGGTTGGGCGCTGCAGCCAACAGTTACCATCTTGCTGATCATCAGGTTAGAACTAGGCTCCCCTCCATCTCCTCCCTCTGCTGCCTCCAAAATGCTCCTTGCACATGCCCTCCCGAGCCATTGCCCCTCATCCACGTGGATTCAGAGTAGGAGGAGAGCAGAGGCTGCAGGCTGGGTGTATCAGTATCACTGCATCCCCGCGGGGTGACACCTGGCTGGGGCAGAGAAGCAAATATCCGACGAGGAAGAGTTTGCAGGAAACTGGCTTGGGACCAAAAACTCATTCTTCACAGGTCACCGAGCAGGTACTGAGATGAAAAGCAGGGGTTCTCCATGTCTTGCAATCTTGCCAGGTGAGGAAGGGCAAGAGGGTCGGGACCCCAACACCAGATCCTATCTCCAAGTTACATCAACGCCAATAGCAACACCCGCACCCCCCTTTCATATATTGAACTCAGAGAGCAAGAACATCCAAGGCCACACTTTGCAGAGCCACCGCCCTTTGGGTGAGAGACACAAGCAATCATATAGAGAGAGATTCAGCATTCAGACATGTGCACCTTGAGGCCAGAAATGGGGAACTGAGCCAGGATCCTGCCATAACATATCTGCAGCTCGAATGCAGATGTCAGAGAGCCTCTTCGCTGGATGCTTGCCACAGGTCTGTCCTGCTAGCTGGCAAAATAGGTGGTGTCACAAGGGTGGAAACAGGAGACCCGATCATCCCCAAGGACCAAGCAAGCAGCTGCCCCATGTGCCACTAGAGGACACTCTGGTGAAGGTGGAACCCTACAGACCTTTCGCCTTCCCGTGAGAGGCGTTTACATTGACCTCCAGTTGCAAAGGCATATCCCTGGAAGCCTCCATCCAAAGGGCACTGACAATGTTAAAAGATTAGTTTGTGTCATAAGCTTCCTATTTTTCAAGGCCGCTATAAGATTTTGGGGGCTTATCTCCTGGGATTAAACAGCCAAGTCGTCTTTCTTAGCAAGGTCCCTAATGCCACTTAGTGCCTGGGATCTGCGATTTTCATTAAGGGCGTCAGGAACAATTAGCAGGAAAAAATTAGGGCAGGGTCTTTCTTAAATAAAAACCAAGGCTTATTCAATCAGTCAAATGAATTTCCAACTAAGTATCAGGCCTGACACCCCTCCCCCACTTGTGCATGCAAGATGGAGATTGTAAACCCCATATGTACAAGTGTGGCTTTTGTATCCAGTGGCGGGGGTGGAATGGGGGGGGACGGGGACTACATGCACACGCGCACACATACACATGCATGCACATGCCTAGACATGCATGCATACATATGTAAGCTTAAAAAATCATAAAAGAGGGGCAGGTACTTTTCCAACGGGTTTATTGGCAGAGAACAGCAGGAAAGAACAGGACAGACCTTAACATCTTTGCTGCTAGGGCAGCGATTTGCACAAGGGTTCAACACTTCCTTTCTGTGATGGATGGATGGATCGTTCAGCGTCACAGAGCCGTGTTCAGAGCAACATGAAATAACTTCACATGTGTTCATGTGTTGCAAGTCATCCGAGACCTTTCCCCAATGTGGAAGTTTCTGAAAACCAGCCACCAAACCAATGCTATGGAACAGCAGTGATCTCATTCTTCAATCGCAACAAAAATAAAGGGGCTGGGAACGCACAAGACCCATCAGATACGCTGCTCTGGCCAATGGCGTCCACATAAGTCTACCAGAAGCCAGCAAGACTAACTATAGGGCAGAAGCAGGACTACTGGGTTCATCTAGAAACCTCATATCAAAGTAAATATCCTGTTGGGTCCCTTCTAGTATAACCCTGACAGCCTTGCCCAGCTGGGGTGTAAACGGTAGGGGACACAGGTGTGAACTCCATGCTTCTTTAGTACAATACACACACTTGCACAGATTCATATCCTGCCTCCTCCTCCTCCTCCTCCTCCCCTTCAGCTGTTCTAGTTAGCTCCATGGCCAAGACTCTCAGTCTCAGGTGCTGGTTGTGTCCCCAGGAAGGGATGCAGAAATTGAAGTGCGACCCCTGGAATTGGCAGCTTATCTTGAGGGGGAAGCTGTGCAGCCCAGCTGGGAACAGGTTTGTTTGTAAGAGTCACGATGGCGGGACATGCCCAGCTAAAGCCCTTGTAGTGCTATGCTGCACAGCAGACAATCAAAACTACAACCACTGGACCTGAAGGCATGATGTTCTGCTGCCTGCCTCCATCTGCTAAGGCCTTAGCTGCCTCATCATGTCCTTTCTGTGCTGCAGCCATGATTAAGGATAGAGCGCCCTTATGGGGCGGGTGCATGACTGATATGCTATAAATATGAAGCCATGCTAAACCCTATCCCACGTGGCCAGGCATGGCCTCACTAAAGGCAAGGAGGATCACTGGTAATCTATACGCCCACTCAGTCCATGGACTGGGTCTGGGATGCAGACAACTGGCCACTTGACACCCAAGGGAGTAAATATCGAGTCACTGGAGTCAGCATCCTGCCAACACAGGACTTGACAACCATCAGCTAAGCCAAGCTCCTCTGGAACTGGTACCTTAGAGCAGACAGACTTCAGGTATCCCAACACCAACAGTTTGGATACCGCACGGTAAATGGGAAACACAAGAATCTACCCAGTATCAAAGACAGGAATGCACTGAGCTTCTGGAAACACTGCAAAGATACACTAGATGAGAGAGCAGGCATCCCTAATCTTTTGGGGTAGGTGACCCCACTTCCAGGTTTGCAACCCCATGTCCCATAGGGGTCTGAATGCTATCCCTGAATGGGCTCGTACTCACTAGCTTGAGACCTGCTGGCATAGGCAGCTCATGCTACTAGACTGACACCACAATCCTGTCTGACAGACCATCAAATGACGCTGGATGATGCTGAGTATTCAGGTGCTTTCAGCTGTGGATTTATTGTTTATAATACTATTCCAATCAAAATAAACCAAAAATAAAGACTCTGCAGAGGCTCTAAGCTAGGCAAGAAGACTGAACACGCTGAAGGGACGTGGAAAGGAGTAGCTACCATGAACCCTATCATCCTCACACCAATGTTCACCCCAGCAGGGGACAGCAGCAGTCAGCACTGCTGAATGTAGTGATCAGATGCTCCTCCAGGCATGGATGGGGACTGGAAGCGGTGTCTGAACCCATGAGCAGGTGGACTTGCAGGGCCCCTACCTCATTTTTATATATATAGAAGATGGGGTGGAATCACAAGTCATGTGTCATTTTCTGGCCTCTGCCCTCTTCAAAGGGCAGGTCTCTGTCCCAGCTTCACTAAGGCAACCCATGCAGGGGGAAGGACCTTTGCAGTCAAGTTCAAGGCTAAGTGCAGGTCGACAGTCATGCTCAGGTCTCCGTGCTGCATCGGTCAAACCTGGTTCTTCCCGGCCCTGGTGGCCCCACGTTCCCCAGAGGCTGGCGAAGCAGAGGCTACAGGTACAGATGGGCCTTCAAGGGGTGCTGTAAGTGGGGTCTGCTCCAAGCCCAGCTGAGCTGCTTTTCCTGCAGGCATCTGTAGGCAGCTCCAGGGAGGTACAGGGGAGGCTGGGAAGCTGTCTGGGCGAGGGGCAGAACGGGAAATCTGGGATGGCAATGCTGAGAAGGGCTGGCGGCAGCAGGGGGCACGTACGGTGGGCAGCACAGGCAATACCTTCCTGGGCAGCAGCTCGCCCCGTAGAAGGGGTAGGGATAATAGTTCAGACTCACCGCCATCCTGGAACAGGGCAAAGAGAAGACAGGGTCAGATGGGGCCGTGCGCTCTGGACACAGGGGCCTGGCTAGCCTGGAGCAGATTATCTCTTCCCTTGCTGCCTGGCCCAGCAAACCCAGGTGGGCTCTCCCTGGTGCAGGGCACGCAGGGCTGGGAGCCAGGTTTGACTTAGCAGCCAGCAGCCCCCTTAGGAGGGTTGTCTGCCTGGACGACGACCGCTGCCGGGGCTGCGTGTCTCAGAGGCTGGCACTGGCTCCCAGGCTGCCGGGGGTCTCTTCCCGAAATGCAGCTCACAACTCGATTGTTAGAGACTCCACATCTCCCACCCATTCCCTCAACCTTTGCCCTCTGATAGTGTCTTTCATCTGTACTCTTTGCCTTGTGCACTTTGCAACCAGGGCCCCTTGTCCCATCTAACCCTGGCTCTGCCCTTTCCCTCCCAGAACGGAGGCAGGTTTAATGTTCATTATGGAGAGAAAACAGAGCGTGAGAGATTAGCTAAAAGTCACATGGCAAACCCACGGAAGAACCCAGGTGACCTAGCTCCCCAGCGCTCAAGTCCTCCCTGCTGCTGTGTGGGACTAAAAGAACAAAAGGCATTTCAGGAAATCACCAAAACTTGCAGTTAACCTTGGTCTCAGGCACCAAGGATTGTAGGGGGGCCTTGATGAGTATGGGAAGAGATCTGTTAGCCTGCGGCTTTCCTAGCTGCCCCTCTCAGCTTCTGCAGCCCTTACTGTGTCCACCGGCTTTGGCCAGCTGGAGGCACCACTCAGTTTCCTTTCTCCTCTGCCAGGCAGAAAGGTTTCAACCACCAAGTGCAGTATCATGGCAAAGGACAGAGGAGGGATCACCTGCAACACCGGGCTCCAGTGAAAGGAAAAAACAGACATCCTTTTGGGCCCGGTGAGGTCAGATTCAGGTCAATGTAAAGGGATAATGGGCTTATCCCCATCCACAGGTCAGGCTGGAAGTCAGTGGAGTCCAGCAGAGAGAGGGGGTCACTTTGCACATGGCTCAGGCATAAGCCAAGGATTTGAGAACTGGGCGCTGTGAGCCACGACTCCCTGCCTCGGGCTGCCGCTCACCTGCGGATGCGCCGGCGGGCTCTGCGCCGGTGGTAGTCGCCCTTGGAGAAATCCTCCAGGTTGGCTGGGTGGATGGCCCAGAAGTGCCCCTTGCCGTTGTCACTCCGCCCAGCTTTGATGAAGCATTCGTTCAAGGAGAGGTTGTGCCGCACGCTGTTGCGCCAGCTCTTCTCCTGCAGAGCCAAGAAGTTGGACGGGGGCAGTGAAATATGGCAAGAAGGGGAGAACTTGGGGTGATAGCATTTGCATGGAGACAAAGGAGGGAGGGAAGGCAGTGGCTATAGGAGCAGCTATCCCACCATGCTCTGCTCGCTAGCACCCAAACCCCATCATAGATCTTCAATACTCACATCACGCTCCCATGGTCTAGGTTGGATGAGCTGAGTTGTAGCGAAATTTGAGCTAGATTTTTGCCTAACTTTTAATTTCTTTAGGATGAATCAGAGAATGTTTTCTTCTTTCCCCTGCTGTTTACTGAACCTTAGAAATACCAAGCCTGATATTGATATCTTGGTCTTTCTGGAAGACAATTTGGAAGCCCCAGACAGCAAAGGTTGATTCTTTCATGGAGATTTTCTTTGCTTCAAAATGTTACTGTCACTACATCCAGGGAACAGAAGTGATTTTAATAGTCTCAAGTCAGAAAAAAGAAGACAGCCCTTTTCTTCTCTCAAGCACTTCTGTTCTCAGAAGGTACCCTTAGTCTGGGGTGACTAACCTCCGCTATCCCAACAGCACCAACTTGGGGTGCTCAGACCTGAATTTCTAATGGAAAAAACACAAAACCCACCTGACCACCCACCCACTCACACCAACAGCTTGCTGTTTCTCTTGACAAAGTAAAAGGGGGTCAGATGCACAGCAAGTCACCGTGCAGTGACCAAGCAAATCACTGGCAAAGTCACAAGTTAGCCCTGTCACTTGGTTCTCTGAGCACCATCACATCAACATGTAGCTGCCTCCCCCAGAACACCCACATGGATCCCAGGCATGGACCAACTTCATCTTGCTGCTTGCGTTGGCTAATCATCCGGATGACCCAGTGATTTGGACAGTTTCCTATTGCAGCCAATTTCAAGATTTTTTTTTTTTTGTATAGTCTAACCTGGGGGAAAAAAACAAACCCAAGATCAGAAAGTCACTGCATCTCCCTGAACCTGCACATCTCACCCTCTCTGTTCCACCCTGCTACTTGGTGATCTATGCAATGGGGGTTTCAAGCTGGCAGTGGATGGATCTCGCATTTGCAAGACTCCGGACCTTTTTTGCATCCATTTATACTGAGAAGTGTAAAGCCAGAGAGGGAGAACGGTCGCTTCATTTTGCCTTCTCCCTGGGCAGCAGGTAACAAAGAGCAAGCATGAAAATCAAAGAAAAAGGCATGGATCAATAAGAAAGGTGTAGCAGGGTGTGTGTGTGCAGTCAGTATCATTGAACCAATGTGTGTGGGGGTGGGCATTGGACAGAGAGAAGGAAACGGCAGAGAAACTTCCTCTACCCCAAAGAGAGGAGATGCTTCTTAATTCTGTAAGAACATGCTGGGTCTCTCTCTCCGGTCTAATTTCAGGGCCAAGGCACCCTTGTGCCCACTCCCTGCCAGACTGGCATTGGGACAAAGGGAAATTTTAAATCTCCTACAGATCCTCTCCCTTTTACCCAAAGATTCAAGTGAAAAGTAGAGAAGCAACTCTGCAAAATTCAGCCGTGGCCGTGCACAAACCAATGTCAAGAGGCTCAGACAAGGGTGGTGAGTTTTTACGAATGAAAGAAGGATGGAGCTTGCAATCTCTCAGCCCCCCGTTGCAACGTCCCTGGCACCAAAAGGAACCATCCAGCAGGCACAAAGGCAAGAGGCAAGCCCTCGGTGTTGTATCCAGCAACTCATACCCCACCCTTGGCCATGGAAACTCACCTTATTTTTGAAGTAAGGGTAATTATCCATGATCCACTGATAAATATCCGAGAGCAGCAGCTTCTTCTCTGGGGAAGAGAGGATGGCTGTGGAAATAAGGGCAATGTAAGACTGGTTGGGTTTGTCCACGGCATCTGGTGGTGCCTGAGCTCCAGTGTCTGCCTGCTTTCTCTGAACCTCCTTTTCCATTTCTTTCTCTTCCAAGGAGCCCAAGCTCTTGGACTGAGGCTGGCTCCCAGCCTCCAACTCCTCACTCACTGGCTGCCCCTTATCAAAGAGCAGATAATCAATCATGAAGGAGACACCCAATTGTCGCTTGCTCCCAGCTCCTGCCTCCTCCATGGTACTAGTGACTCTGGGGCTCTTGTGTTAGTTCATCCTCTTCTTTGCCGCTGTCTTGAGTAGCTTCAAGCTGGGCTAGGGAGATCCTGCAAGGGGAATGAGCTGGGGAAAGCCTCCTGAGCACTGCCTGATAATTAGTGCAGATTACAGGGTTTGCTAATTGTGTTTTCACAAACGGGCTGCCTTGGCAAAGCAGCCTGTTTATCTGGCAAAGCCCCGGGTTTAGAAGGATTTGACCCTTAAGCCTAATAAATAAAATGATTAATCCACTGGAGGTAGAGGAATTCTGAGCCAAGCTTTCCAACAAGTCAAGGATTCACAAAAGAAGAGAGACATGCAAAGGGGAAACAAAGCAGGGCTGGGAAATGTTTGAGGCTGATGGATCTTCTAAGAGACACCTAGAAATCTGTTAGCAAACCCATTGTTTGCGACCCTGCAGATGAGCTCTAGAACAACAGTCCAGTGGTATCTGTTTTTCTGCACATAGACCAACTCTTTTCCCTGGAGAAGAACAAGTTTAGATTGTCCAATGCTTTCCCTTGGACGTCAACACATCAAACTGGGGTTGAGACAAGAGTAAGGGAGGAGGTGGAGAGGTCCATTGCTGAGCCTAGGAAGGGAACAAGCTACTGGGGAAGGATATAAAAGAAACCAAGCTAGTACCATGGGTAGAGCAAACATGGTGAGTTTTAGGAACCTAGAACTGGAAAAGAACCCCTGAATCATCAAACCAATCCTGAGCAGGTGCAGACAGTCACCTGGCTAGCAGAAATCTAAAATAAGAGAAACAGGAACGTTTTTTCAGCTCAAACAAGGCTCACGACAGCTTACAGGAGTGGTGCCCAACCTTGAGAGACTCAAGGCACCCTTTGGAAAACGCCAGCTCTTAGCTTTCACTTGTTTTTTGCCTAGAGGAAAATACTAGAGCAATTCTGTTGCAAAGAACTCCGAAAGACCACAGCAGCTCGGAGCGTTTTTTGACACGATGGACTCCTACTTGAAATCTCTGGGTTTATCTTGTAAATCATGTTTGCCCACCTAACAGTGCTAACATTGCGTGGCATCCTGCCACATCCTTAAAAGGATCTCAAGGCACCCTAGGATGCCACAATACCTTGGCTGAGAATCACTGCCCTACAGCAACCATAAGATTTAGAGAAACTCATTCTTGATGTTGACCATAGGAATGAATCACTATACTCACTGGTCCCTTGATCATTAATCCAGTGTCCCAGGAGCCCTCCCAATCGCCAGCTCATCTACTGAAACAGCTGAAGTTTGGAAGTCAGAATCCAACCCACATACGTAATAGGATTAAACGGTGCAGCATCCTTCTTGGCACACTTTGCTCTTCCGCCTCTGTTCTAGTCTTTCCTCAAACTGTTATCTTTGCCTACTCCACTTGGGTTTCCTCTTCGAGTGAAACTGTGAATCTCTCCCCAGTTTAGTCAGGCCTTGGATTGGAGTTTAAGGAACAAACTCTTCTAAAACGGAATGAAATTGGGTGTTTTTGGTCCTAAAGAAGCATATAGCTGCCCCAGTCAAGATCAAGACTTTATTGTCCTGGATGTTGTACCTATCCAGTGGGGAAACTCTTTGGAGACAGGGGGTGCCTATCTGATTAGAACAGAGGCCACAAAACTTTCAGCTTCCTCCCTCCTTTCCTTCCTTGGGTCCTGCTCCCTTGCTCTCTGTTTAGCAGAGCTTGTAATAGCTGTTCATTACCTACTGGTACGGAGAGCACCCCACTCCTGCTATGGTAGCAATCCGAGTTGGAGTCGTATATTATTGAAGAAAAGTGTGTCCAAGAATTTGTCATTGCACAAATCCTATTTTGGTTTGATGTCCTATTTTAGGTGGTGATTTTATCAGATCGGTAGGGAACAGAGCCAGAACTTGGTGTGAATGCAGCTGCCTGACACAAGGTGTCCAATAAAAGAAAATCTGAATAGGAGAGAAGGACAAGGACTGGTCCCAGATTTAATCAGAAGGAGAATCTGTGCAGCTGAGAGCAGCCTTTCCCCTGCACAAAGCCCATTAATAATGAAAGCAGGGATGCAAAATGTAGGATGAGGAAACCATTTTATTCCTCAATGCAGGAACTACCGTGAGTGACAAGGAGGCGGCAATTCACTTAACGACATCAGCTGAGTCCTCCATTGAACACATGGTGGGACTTCCTAATTAATGGTCAGGGGAGGCTGCATGTGGCAAATACTCCCAGAGACCAAAATCCTCCCCAGACCACGGCTGTATTTTAGTAACTACTTAGTGACACTAGGAAGACTCCCCCACATTTAGGTTGTCCACGCAACTCATTCCATGACATCCACCCCCAACATCTCTAGGGCCCAGGTTTTCTCAGTCCATTCTGCAAAAAGTAGTGACCTTCTCTCCTAGATGGAGCCTCAGCAGGGAATGGAGGAGTGCAGGTAACATGGGCACCATCAGCAGCATTTCAGTGACTTCTAGGACACCCTCCCCATCTCAGCAAGAGCAAGGAGCAGTCAGACTGGTTGCATCAGCTATTTAAGGGATCCCCTGCTAGTGACCAAACAAAAGGACGCCCAACCGGTTACAAGACAGCTGCAGGTAATAGAGGCTGGGCTGCCACTGCGGAGCATTAGCTACATGCAGCGCAAGCCTTGTCTGGAGCCAACTAGTTTGCTAAGTAGGCATAACGGGATCACAGCCAAGAGAGATGACCTTGTCCCCACTCTGCCTGCCCAACACCACTGCCATCTTCTGCAGGTCCATGAATATCATGCTGGATGGGACTGCAGCAACCATCTGGGCTGGGCTTCTTCAGCACACAGAATAAGCAGTTCCTCTGGTGAATCCTGCTTCCCACTAAAGCTTCTCCCTTGCCCTGGACCTTTGTCAAATATAATCAGGCCTAAGTGGAGTTAACACTTGTAAATCAATATGGTAATAAACGGTATCTCTTGACCCTGGTGAAAGCAACGGCAGTGCATGGGAAGAGGAAAATTGAGCGCCCAATCTCAAAGTAATGGAGAATCTACTGCCGTTGGGTCAGGAAGAGAAAAAAAATCCAATAGCACAATGGAGAAGGACAAAGCTGGGAATTAAATGTAAATCTTTCTTTTTATTTAAGAAACACTATAATTCTGAACTTTGAAGAATGTGTACTGAGGGAAAGAAAAATAATTTTCTTTTGCTTTTTCTCTTCTCTTTACAAAAAGAAAAAAACAGGATATAAGAAAAAACATATGTACAGGAAGAGCTGGCCAACTCAAACAGAAAGCAGTAACAGAAGCATGATGTTTCCCAACAGTGGCTTGGCCTGGAAAATTTAAAAACAATTAAATTAGAATACAAATATTAGAAAAACTGGACTCTAAAGCTACCTTGCGGCCGGGGATGCAAGCCGCGCAACTTTATACAGTAAAACTTAATGTCTGAGCTCTACCCAGTCCCCCCCACCCCCCAACCCAGTTTAAACCTGAAAACATATTGCTTACTTGCGCAAAGAAAAGAAAAAAAAAAGAAAAAAATTAAACGGAAATTTTCGTACAAACAAAGGTCATTCTGTGGTGGAACTGAAATGGCGGAAGAGCAAACAAGGTTTTGGGTTGTCTCCCTCCCCCACATGCCCCCGTCTCACTCCCTTTCCGCAGCCCCTCACCCCTCCATGGAGGAGGCAGTGCTTTCGCATGCTGGTGCTCGAGAGGAAACTTGAAGAGGCTTCTTTATTATTTCTCCCTCTGCCTGATGGGCCCCTGCGAGTCATTTGCAGAAGGTCCCGGAGGGGTGTAACGGGGGTGGGGTAGGGAAGAGAATCTGATAGAGAAGGCAAGATGCCTCCTGTTTCATTTGCTGGGAGAAATACAGATTGGCAGAAAAGGCTCCTCCCTTCAGAACAAGCCCACGTGGCTCAAGGTCATCAGGTCTTTGCCCTCCACCCTCAGGCGGTGGGATGCAGAGCCCAATAACCAGCCACCATAGGGCATGGGATTTCTTGAAGCAGATTAATCCAAGGTACAGCGTGCCGCACCGGAGAAAACTCTACTCATACATCATGCAACGAGACTCTATGGAGAATTTGAAGAGAACTTCAAATGCCAGGGTCTAAAGCATTCTGGCTCGATAGCATCTATGGGATAATATTCTGTTCTCTTCCTATATGCGTTAGGCTAGGTCCTTAAAGGTATTGAAAAATAGTTCTAGGTGGAACTTGATGGCTTTAAGTCGATGTGGTATTTTAAATGCATTGCTTTTTCTTAAATGCATTAAAAGTGCTTTTGAAAGCACCATCACTTTGGTTCTGTGATTGAACATAGCTGCCTCCTTTCCTCCAGACTGATGCTTTAGGGGAGGAGGTGGTTCTAAGGGATGACGTAGATTCATGCTGCCCAGACGTCTGTCATTTCACTGCAGCTGGAACAAACAGCAAGAGCTGGAGGCATGGCAGGGGCTGGAAGTGTTCAGTGATCAACTGCCTTTTTCCAGTAGCTAGAAAGCCTATATACAGTATGACTGAAAACTACTTGCGTGGCCTTGGCTGCAGTATTACCACTCAGCTGGTCTGGTGCACAGTGCACTGCTAAAGGCCATTACGTTGCTCTCCACCCTTCCCTTGTACACGTTCACGGGGCCAAGTCAACATGCCAGCTTCCTTCCAACATTTATTCCCATCCACAGACGAGAAAGTCAGCAAGGTCCAAAGCAATGCAGACTTCAGAGGCTTTTAACTAGGAACAGGCAGAGCAAATTATGCAAAGTTAATTACAAAATCTCTACAAGACAAAAAGGTTACCATTTGGAAACTCAAAAGCAACAATATTTTGCCATCAAGAGCATAGCAGTAGCTTTGGGTCTGGGACCAAAGTCTTAACAGAACAGAGAAGTGGAAAAGTCCAGAGGCCGTAATACGTGGTCACTGTGCTCCACTCGTTGCCCCTTGGCTCTGTCCCCAACATCATGACGTTCATGCCGTCAGAAGTACCAGTGATGGGCTTTGCACTGTTTCATGTCTGAAATAAACCTGAATTGGAGTTACCGAGGTAGTTGGCTAGAAACTGAGATTCTCCCACCTGGCATTTTCTTGAAGGCCATCCCTCCCCTCCACCCTGCCCCACTCCTACACGATGCCACATGTCCAGTTGATGGGCTTCAGCTGTCCTGCAGGCTGCTGGCACCGACTCCAGAAACAAAGCCTTCTTAAAAAAAAAAAAAAAAAGAAGAAAAGAAAGAAAAGGGAATGTGCAGCCCTTTTAAGTCTTCAAAAACACCAAGTTATTGCACTTCAAAAATACAACAGGTTTGTGGTTCAAGCCCTCCCTGCCCTCCCCATGGCTTCTGCTCAACTAAAATGCTTCACTACGCACAATTTCTACATTACCTTCAGATTAGGTTAAAAGGATTCAAAATGTGTCTCTCTTTACATGAGGTGCAGAGCTGCGGAAGCTCCTAACTAGAACAGTGCGATCCCAATCTTAAGTCTCTTCCCTTTCAGTCCCGGCCCTCCCTGCCCTCTCCCTCCCCCTCTGCCACCCATTTAAAAAAAAAAAGAAAGAAAAAAAAAAAAAAGAAAGAAAGGAGACCTAACTTTGCTGGGGTTCTATCAACCTCCCCCGCTTCTCTTCCCCACCCCAACCCACCCATTCACATGTCCAGCAAAACTTTATCAGGAATGGTTATTTAACAAGACAATAAAAATGCACACAGCTTTGGAGATGCACCGGAGTTAGACGTCCTGTTGGTTTTCAGGTGAACTCCACCGATTCAAACCGTACTGGTGAAGGGCAGTTGAGATCGAGTTAGCTCTGGATCTTGACTGCCTGGCTTAAGACACTTTTCCTTACTTCAGACTCTGGTTCAGGTTGAGCTGGCAGAGCTCAGGTCAGGCTTTTAGTGGGGCAGTTTTTCAACCAAGAAGCAGCTCAATGGTTTTATTTTTCATTTTAATGGTTAACTCGGAATAGGAAAGTCAAAAGGAGACCAGGGAGGAAGGGAGATGAGGTGAGAGGTCCTCTCCCACCTCCAGTTTAGTAAGCACCAGAGTATTCAAGTCTATCCATTCAGAGATTCAGAGCTACTTCCGCAGTCAGCAGGCAGAAACTAGATCTTTCTCGTAAGAGCAGCGTCGTTTCGGTTGGGGTCCATCATCGTCGTCGTCCTCCTCCTCGTCTTCTTCCTCCTCCTCTTCTGATGATGAGCTGTCCAGTGTTAAATCCACCACATCAGCAGTGACCTTGCCATTCTCACCATTACTATTGGGAGTGGGCAAGAGCCCGTTCACATCTGAAGAACCTGGGAATAAATGGACTTCAATTAGAACATCTATGAATTAAATGTTAAATAAATGGACCACAATTAGAACATCTATTATACTCCCCCCAGCCAATCCCCCTTGGCAGGCCTTGTATCCACAGTATCCGGGGAAGTAACAGAGAGAACCCATTCCTCAGGGAAAGCGGTATGAAGAAAGATCTACTTCATACGAAGCCCACTGTTCGGTTTCATAGTTGGTTGGGTCGGAAAGGACCTGAGCAGATCATCAAGTCTGACCCCCTGCCATGGCAGGAAAGAGTATTGGGGTCAAAAGACCCCAGCAAGGTGTCATCTAGCCTCCTCTTAAAGACCCCCAGGGTAGGAGCCAGCACCACTTCTCTTGGAAGTCGGTTCCAGATCCTAGCAGCCCTGACAGTGAAGTAGCGCCTCCTGATGTCTAGTCTGAATCTACCCTCTGCCAGCTTGTGACCATTATTTCTAGTGACTCCTGGGAGTGCTCAGGGGAACAGGGACTCCCCCAATGCCTGCTGGTCCCCTCTGACTAGTTTGTAAACGGCCACTAGATCCTCCCTCAGCCTTCTCTTGTGGAGGCTGAACTGGTTCAGGTCCCTCAGCCTCTCCTCATAGGGCCTGCCCTGCTGCCCCCTGATCATGCAAGCGGCCCTCCTCTGGACCCTCTCCATGTTATCCACATCCCTCCCGAAGTGCGGTGCCCAGAACTGGACGCAGTACTCCAACTGCGGCCTGACCAGTGTCGCATAGAGGGGGAGGATCACCTCCTTGGACCTGCTTGAGATGCATCTATGGATGCACGACAAGGTGTGGTTGGCCTTCCTGACCGCGTCCCCACACTGTCGGCCCATGTTCAATTTGGCATCAATAATGACTCCAAGATCTTTTTCTGCCTCTGCCCAGCCTGTAGGTATGCTGCTGGTTCTTCCTCCCCAGGTGCAGCACCTTGCACTTGTCAGTGTTGAAACCCATCCTGTTCTCATCCACCCACCCCTGTAACCTGTCTAGGTCCAATTGCAGTCTATTCCTCCCTTCTAGCGTGTCCACTTCCCCTCACAACTTAGTGTCATCTGCGAATTTGAACAGGGTGCTTTTTACCCCCTCGTCCAAGTCGCTGATGAAGATGTTGAACAGTGCAGGCCCGAGGACCGAGCCCTGCAGAACCCCACTGCCCACATCCCTCCAGGTCGAATAGGACCCGTCCACCACCGCTCTCTGGGTGCGGCCCTCCAGCCAGTTAGTGACTCATTTGACTATGTAGGTGTCGACGCCACAGTCCCCTAGTTTTTTTTAAATGAGAATGGGGTGAGAGACTGTCGAAACTGTATCTTTGTAAACCAATGCAATAGTAAAATACTTTCTAGGATACCCCCAAAAGCTCATCTGATCATCTGCTCAAACTACTGATGGGAAGCATTTGAAAAAGTGTATGAAGCCCTTCAGTTACAGGGAGAAAAAAAACCTCAGACATATACAAGCAGGTTCTGGCAAAATCCCCATTCAGGGAAGATCTGATGTTCCACTGCCCCCAGCCAGATGAGTTAGAATAGTCTGGTGTTTGGTCCAAAAGCATGCATGCCAGAATTAATTCTGCACCACTTTGAAGCCATACCTAAACAATTCACTTGGACTTGGTAGTTAAACCATTAGAGAACGAAACTGTTCAAAGGGTTCAATGACCCCATCCATAATGATCGTCTTAATGGTCAGATGCACTGGGCATCTCTATGATGCCAACTTACTCCTTTGTATGGAGAGAGGAAAAATAAAACCCTATTGGCTGCCTGGTTGTTTACTCAATCAGGTGCCCTACCGTTTCCAACACTAATCAAGCGCCCCTTACGAAGCTGGGGGCCCATGATTTTGTATCACGAAATCATTTGTGCAAGTTCCCCAGAGCTCAGCATATTAATCTCCTTTGCACCATGCCATACGTACCTAGTACTAGTATTGGACACTGAGGGCTGCAGCTTCTCTCCTTCTCAGCTCTTATTGGACACCAGGAACCATCCGCCATGTATTCTATTTCGTCTGCATCCTCACATTCTGTCAGTATCTTTGACAAGAGCCTGGAAAGGAAACAAGACGCTATCTATTAACCTTCAGGCAATCAGCAGAGCACCATGGCAGTATGTCATTAAGTTGGATCCTCACCTTACATGGCCCTACAGCTTAATCCAAGAGGAATTTGGTGACAGGGCAAGGTTACAAAACAAAACAGTCCTTGATCACAAAATCCTATTTTCCCATAAAGGAACCATAGTATAGGTTCTAACAGTGAACCTTCATCACAAAACCATTCCACCCTGACAATGCGCTTAAATAATAAAGCAGAGACAGAGTCCAAGTGAGAGAGCAGTCTCTATGCTCAGTTCAGTTCCTTGCCTCTCAAGGCTGACAGTGAAGAGAATTACTGCAGGTGGATGGTTTTGTGATGAAGGCTTTCAACCAAGTGGACTGAAACACCAGCTCAGTCATAATAGCAAGACCAGGCTGAAGTCCTCGTTCCTCACCAGGTCATCAGATCCTCCAGAGTGTTGAGACTGTAATTCCATGACGTTAGAAGCAAGAATTCTTGCAGGTGATCTCTTTTATTGGACTTGAGACAGACAAAGGCAAGTTTTGGGGTATCACAGTACCCCTCCTCAAGCCTCTGAGAGCAGCAGACACAGCAGAACCAAACAGCAGACTGAACAAAAGCTTGTGTAAAACTCAGTATGTAAACAAAGGTGGGAGATAAGAGCAATCGGGTAGCCAACAGGCAGGAGAGAGGCAATAAAAACCTGATGAAAGAGGAACAAGGTTGCTCAGGAGGGTCATTATCACCTGGGATCTACAGATGGCCTGTATCAGGTAGATTATAATTGGCCATGAAGTCACTGTCTACGGCGTTAAAACCCTGGTACTTAGTTCTCAAGCTTCTCCTGTAAGGGTGCAGGTAGGTTTCCTCTGAGCACAAGAACTGTGAGGTCAGATTGTTTTCTGTGAAAAATGTTCCCCTACTTGTGTTTTAGTGTCTCTCTTCTTAATCTTTTGTCTGTGCTCATTCATTCTGGTGCATAACTTTTGTCTGGTTTCAGCCACAGTTGCCATGAGGGTATCTGGTGCACTAGGTCTAACTTCCCAAGTCCTTTGTGCTGCTGCCCAGACAATATTCATATGATGAGACGCACAAAGCTTACAGGATAACTGGTGTACATGCATCAAAATTAACACATTAGGATAAACTGGATGCTCTTAATAAGACTGAGAAATAGGCAGGAAATATTACCCTTTTTGCTCTTTACAAGTCCACATGCTGGATTTCCCAAGCTACTGCTGAAGTCTCTAGGGACACCATAATGTATGCAACTGCTTCCTGTTAGAGGCTGTACCAGGCAACAGGTGGGGAGGGGAAAAGAGGACAACAAGAACTTTTTTGCCCAGCAGCCCACTATCATTATAAGAAATGGCCATCTCTTTTTCTGAAGTCCCTGGTCTCTAAGTCCAGATTACTCTTCTGGTACACTCTACCTTCTTTTACCACTGTTCAAGTCTCAGCACTTGCTTTTCAAATGCACCTGGAAGCCATTTATATTTACAGAGTCTGTCTGCAAGTCTGGTTCTGGAAAGCCTCATTCCCTCTTCCACTTTAACAATGTGACCCAAACTCATTTGACTGGTTTGCAGCCCAAAAAGAGGCATCTGTAGGTTTCCATTTTAGTAACGGGGCTCTTACTGCATTGTGGGCACAGGAAAGGGAGTCTGGGGACAGCGGTCAGATTTCTCACTGGTGTTAGAAGTACAGTTTAGAAGGTCTTCGATCTAAACACCTAAAACTTCACTGTTTGCTTAAAGAGCTTCTCAGAAATCCTGAAAAGCAACTATTGTAGTTAGAACAAAGATGATCCAACCCTTAACATGAAACCCCCCAAATCAAACAGGAAGGGTACGTGTTCCTCTTTTCAAAAGCAGAAGCTACTCGGCACCATAGACAGACAAGTTCTTTTGATTCACAGAACGCTCCAAAAAGTGTCTTGGTTGTACCGTCTCCATCTACTGGCAGGGAGGAGCTCTACCTGTGCATCTAGACTGATACCAGATAATAAAGAATGAAGCGTAAGCTTCTTTAATTAACCTAGGCCAAAGACTAAAAGTAAATACTATTTCAAATACACGTTAGGGGAAAAAAATCATGATAAAAAAAGAAGCCAGGGAAAATTTGGTTTAAGTGAGACTTCAAGAACCCTGAATCTTCTAAAGTCTGGGTATTTGGGAGGTACACGAAATATCTTAATCTTGCCCCTTCAGGAAGATTTCTACCCTTTATCTTGTTCCTTATATAGGTAGCTAATGAAACAGCCAGAAAAATAATATTGAGTACTTTAAGGAGTTCCCAGTCTGCAGCTACAGAAACTGCGCTTGCGCAGCTTGAACCAGAAGCATCAAACATGTACCAGAGATCTCTGGTTTAAAACTGCATTTGTACCTCGATCTCAAAGGAGCTAGCTCTGCATCTAGAGATACTTGAGTGAAAGGCTGGCATTTAGAATCATTTGACTTGAACCGATGACATGTCGAGAACTGCTCGTGGGGTGCCAACATCATGCATGATAAGGCTCTTAATGAAGGAATGGGAGAAGAATACATGCGAGAGGCAATCTGTCCTGACACTAGCATGTAAAGAAGTTTCAGTTTGCTGAACTATAAATGATAAGCAATAGCTCATGGTAGAGTAAAGCACCCTTGTTTTGTCGGTCTCTAGTCAGACAGTGCATATGAATGAGAAGGTGGTACAAGTTTTATTTTGGCAACAGTTTACAGAAAGCTGGTTGAGAAACTATAAAACCAAGCAAGGTCCGAGTCATCAGTTTTGGTGTCAGTGTTGTCTCACCTAAATTAAGAGTAACTGGAACTGTAATATGTGGTGTTGGATCAGATACGGAGCTAAAATGATTATAAAAATCGCAGTGGGGAAGAGAAAGGGGCTGGAGAGAAGCAAGTGAAGAGATGGTGGAAGAAGGTAAACTCACCCATCGATTATTAGCTGGTCATAGGGTGCTGGCTTGTCACACACAGGGCACATCCACGTGGGCTTCTTCTCATTCATCTGTAGGTAAAAGACTGCGTCGAAGCACTGCAGATGTGCACAGGTCTCGGCTCGACAGGGGACAGAAAGCCGCATCTTCACCAGCTAAAGGGACCAATGGCAGGCAGATCAATGAGAAATCCCACCACAGCGTCGGAGCCTTCCCCTCCCAAAATGAATACGTGTGTGTAGACAGATGGTTTTGGTGCTAACATGCAAGAAACTGCTTAAGAGGCAACTGGTAAAAGGAAAGATTTATTATCCTGCAATGGTGGCTTGGGTAACAAACCAGGACAGCTTGTATTAGTAGCTGGAACTGCAGTGCAGTGAGACTTACTGGACAAATGAGTGACACTCGAACACCTGTGGTAGCAATTTCACTGTCTGGATCCAAGCGCAATTTCTCTTTTACTGCATTCAGAAACACAAAAAAGGATAAAATTAACACGCAGCTCCATTTAACCATGACCGTTATGTGTGGGGAAAACTGCTGATGCCAGAAGAGTATCTGGTACATTCCCCAAAACATGCAAATTCATTTCAACCATAGAGAGTAATTGCTACTAGGCAAGGACAGGATGGCAGAGAGATTACTTGGACTAGGTCTTGCTTTTTGGGACGAACGGACCATGGTCAACCCTCAAAATTTCTCAGAGATGACTAAGAATGCAAATCAAACAATGGAAAAGTGCATCAAGGCACCAACACCTACTGCAACCTGTAATTTGTGAGCCATTTGCCACCATTTCATGGAGCAGTTTTTGATACCACTGCTTCAGAAGGTTCTCAGCTAAATAGACAGGGACAACAGGAAAAAAAAATATGCGAGAAGGAAGCAGATCTCTCTCATGTAAAAGTCATGCTAAGGTGTGGGTCACCAACAGTCGGTGTTCAGCTTCATCCCCCTGCCCTACAGAACTAGGAGGCTCTAAGATAGCAGTTCCTAAACTGTGGATTGCGACCCTAAGTGGGGTCGTAACATCAGTGGTTGGGGTTGCGAGATTTCTGAGCCCACAGTGGGGTGCAGGGCTGCAATGGGGCTGGACCAGCTTCAGGCAGAAGCTGCCTCCACAGCCCAATGGGTGGGACCCAGCACAGGAGGGAGCATTACACTGTCACGGCTGCCAAGGCAAAGTGCAGCAGCAACAGCGTGGAGTTGTGCCCCCACTGCTGGGTAGGAGGCGCCTGCATCCTTCCCCTCCTCCCCATGGGCTCTGCTCCAGCTGTGCCGCCCATAGGGGAGGGCAGGAGCCAGGCTCCACACTCTGCTCTGCCTGCAGCAGCTGCCGCCTCTTGCAGGCAGCAGCTGGGGCTTGGGTGCTGCTGGGGGAGCTGGCAGGGATAGGGAGGTGCGGGCCCTGGCTCTGGGGCACCTGGGAGGCTGTGGGTCAGGAGGGAGAGGCAGTGGCAGGCGCCAGGGACTGTGGGTCAGGAGTGAGGCACCATGCTGAGGAAACCTGGGAAGCACTGCTCTAAGATATGCACTCTTCCTTCCGTTTGTTTGGTTACACCAGCAGTCAGAGAGAAAGACTTAGACAAAAGACATTACAGAACTGCACTGTATTTCTGAGATCAGGTTAACCTAAAATATCTGGTCAAGTGGGATGTAAACTCGCTCCATCCCGAGACCAGGGCAGAGACTGGACAGTTGTGAGACAATCGGGTCAAGGTCACACCTACTTTTCAAAGGAGATCAAATTAAGGTGCAGAAGAAATCACCACTGTAGACAGGCAAGTGCTGCGCCAAGTCCACTCAGTTTCCCCAGCCTCACTTGAGCTGAACTGGCCTGCCTCGGTTGCTAGCGGGCCAGTGCTGCAGTTGACCAACATGCTGGGCTAGCTTCCCTTCTCCAGAACCTGTGTACACATTTGGGCAGCAGCTGTGGCATGAGTATGCACAAAGGCTCCTCCAGCAGGCCATCCACAGAGCACGCAATGCGGGAGGTTGAGCCAAAATGCCGTTAACAAAGCAGGCAGATGGAGAGGGTATATCCGAGAGGACTCGGCACATCAGGACAAGAGACAGGGAGTTCAGATTTTGTTGCAGCCGACTGGTGTCAGAAACTAGTGGGGCTGCAGATAGGCTCTCTCACTGTGCTCTAGCCTCAGTGACTGCAGAGGCATTTTCTGGAGGAACATCTTTTTAAAAATCAGGGGTGCTGGAGAACAGAGGCCAAATGCACCACTATATAAGCACAATTATAGAAGCTATTAGCACTGCTGTTATAAGGATCTATTACCCTTCCTGCAGCCTCTCTCACTGGAGTGATTTCCCATTTTGACTTGCAGATCACAACAAAATGCAATTAGATATTGATTCTAAAGGCAGCTTTGTAGCAAGCATCTCTACGGTGAAAGGCAGTGATGCAACTAACCTGTAAGAATTTATGGGGTATTTTTGTGCCATTCCAGCCACACTAAAATTATTCTCAATTTAAAACATTATGTTTTGCCAACAGTTAACTCATATTTTGTCCAGTCACAGCAGCCCCTGTGCATCCACTCCTGGGTCATGGGGCGGGGAGGAAAGAGACCTCCTAAGGAGCCATTAACCAGAACCAAGATTCGCTTTTAAAACAGATGCCTTAAGCCTGGCTCTTAAATCCACAGTTCAGTATCTGATTACGTAGCCTGATGTTCAGACAATGTTCCTAAGTGAATGCACATAAGGAAGATAAGTCAGCAAAGGGAGTCAAGCTGAAGCATTACTGCTTACTGGAAGACAGATGAGCAGAACCTGGAACCCGATGTGGAACGATCGTTAAAGCTACAGCAGCAAGGTTTAAGCTACCGTTTCTTGCATACTTCATGCACCTTGTCCCGCAAAAATCGCCCTCAAAAGCTGGGGTGCATGTGTTAAATGGAAAAGCTGACTTTCTGCCTGGGGTTGGAAGCGTTTGGATTAGATTTGGACTCTACTGTGCAGCAGCTGTGATATTACTGTTTGGGCAGCTGAGGGAGCCAATTGACTTAATGGCTTGCTGTTCCTCACGCTACAGGTGTTAACAATGTTCACTCCTTTTTTAATGGTCTTGTTGTTCCACTAATTAAGTTAAACTTGAGGGAATTTTGCTGGCTGCTCCTGGTCCATTTCACAGCCTCTAATCTCTCTTTTCAAAATCACAGGCCCACCTGTGGAGACCAGTCTTCAGTATCAGCTAGGGATTCAACTTTATTTATGCAGGAAAAGGAGCTCAAGTCAGCTGAAGATCAAGCTGTGCCCCTGCTCTATGCAGCCATGACTCCGGAGAAATCTTTCCCCTTCATTCTGCCTTTCAACAAGGTACAGATGAAATATGGGGGCACATGTATGCCAGAAAATACAATGTTTGGTTTTGCCAGATTCAGAAAGCCATAAAGAAGAGTTTAAGGCAAGCAAAAGCAATGCGACTAGGAACTAAGGCAAAGAGCCTCCAATTTGAATGTAAAGATTTTGAAAAATAATCCATCTTTCCACCTAAATGAAACCAAGTTTGATTAGAGCAGAGGTTCCCAACCTTGTTAGACTCAAAGCACTCCTCTGAAAATGTCAGCTCTTAGCTTTCACTCCTTTTTCAACCACAGAAACATAATAAAGCAATTCTTCTGTTGCCAAAGAGCGTAAAGACCACAACAGGTCATAGAAGTTTTTGATATTATGGCATCCTATCGGAAATCTCTGTGTGCATCTTGTCAATCATGTGTAGATGTCTGCACACATAACAATGCCAAGATTGCACAGTGCCCTTAAAGGGATCTTTTGGCAGCCTGGTTGAGATCACTGTATAAGAGCCTGAAGTGCAAGTCTAATTTAATGGAAAAGTGGAAGGCAGGAGGCCTGTTTGCAGAATCTCTGCTGGCTGCTCTAAAACAGGACGAAACACTCTTCTAGAAGAGACAGGACACAATGTTCTACTCGGATTATTCAAAACTTGGTTCCAAGAAAAGTGTTGGAGTCAGAGGGAAACGATGGGCTCTTGAATGCATTCATCTTGTGACAAGACCAAAATTGCATCTTCTGCTCAACTCATCTGAAGGTACCACTAGGGAGCAGAAGTGGGAGCACAGCCAACTGCCAAAGCTGACTTGAAATTTCTTCTCGCATCAGCCAATGGCTGCCAAAGATTTTTAACCACTTGCTGTTTGTCCCCCTGCCCCTCATGCTCAGATTGCCAGATGTTCTGTAGGGCTGCTAATCACATTGACAATTCTTCTTCAATGACCTATGTTTCAGCCAGAATACCTTGTTAGAGAAGTTCAGCATTTCTATTTGCACCATACTTGGGCAGAGCAGGGAGTGATGAACAAAGTACAAATCTGTATTTGCACACAGAGATAGTCCGAAAGAGATTCGTACAAATGGATATTTAGTTAAAGCATTGCCGCGTACCAAAGAAATGCGGATTTAATCTTTTAAGAGCAATTCTCTATAGCTAGTGAGATCCGAGGCACTGGCGAGGCAGAACACCCAGTTTTCTCCTATACATTTAATACACCACGAGATTGTATTTTCTGGGCCTCTAGAGTCGTCTGTGATTAGTAGTTAAAAATTATGCCAATGAAATTAAATCAGCCTCTTGTAAAGTGCTAAGACTATTCCCTACGTCATTCGGAAATTTTGAACAAATTTCAAGTAAATTACTCAGACTCCTAGGAGCCGAAGGCAAGGCCTTCACTTTGCGAGGTTATTTCCCCTAAGACTTACAATAAGGTTTTGCATTTGGTTTATACCACAGTAAATTTACCTGGACAGTCTGGGACAAGCATCTCTTGGGGATCAGCTCTATCATAGCATTTGAAAAGAATGGTGATGAAACACTGCTTCCAGCCCCCACGATTCCTCAGGGGCTGGCAGCAGAATATTTGCACAGGACGGTTGTGTGCTCCACAACACTCCACTAGAAAGACTGCACATCAAGGCTGAGCAGCTCTGGCACAGTTTCTTGCCTTATAATGATTCAGATGAGGGCAGGAAGTCACACACGTAAGAATGACATTGACCCTCAGCAACTCACTCAACATGACCTAGGGATGAATTTTCAGTCTGTCATAGATTCTATGGAGCCACAGGAAAATACACGCTGCAGAAACTATTTCTGCAGAGATCTGGGGCAATTTGCTGTGTCCGACATATAGCGTAGGAAATTCACAGACTTGAAAGTGGGTTTTTCACAGAATTGGACAGGGAGATCCTATAGACCGTGGCAGCTTCTCACAATTTCTAGTGCCCCAACTTACTGGCTTTTTTCAGTTGGAGGGAGGACATAATGCACGTGACATGGACTAGAAGTAACCACTCAATCAGTCTCTTAACAGCCTCACACACTCACCGAGCGTCTTGCAGAGTTCTGGGTGCTTGACTCCAATAGTTTTCAACTTTTGCAGCAATTCTGCTGAAGTCAACTGTCGCACTAAGTACAGACCCACTGAATAACTCTGGAGAGAAAAAAAAAAAAAAAAGAGAGAGGATGAGAAAGAATGCTCTCCCCACATGCTAGCTTAATTCCCAAATCACCTTCTTTGGCATTTACCTTTCCATAATTCCCCCAGGTGACAGTGATACGATTGGTTGCTCCAGACAGGTACAGGAGATGTGTGAGGTTAATGGGACGACAGGGCCTCTTTGGCTCCACTCCTGGCTTGTTTGATGGATAATAGCCCTAGGGGACAGACAGATAGTTTTCTTTTCCATAGTAGCATCTGATTCCCTTCCCTCCCTGCCCCCCACATTTTTTGAGCAAAAGGACACACCTCTTCTGTTAACCAGTGTTGCAAAATTCTAGTCACCTAAAGTCTTTTCTGGGGAAAGAAAATTAATTGCTTTGCTTCCTCCTCATGATCAGCCACAGCAGAGAGCAAGAGGGTACATACCGACCTTCCCAGCAGCATGGCCAGAATATAGGTTCACAGGATTTCAGAGAGCTTAAGGTCAGAGGGAACTATTTAATTATCTCGCCTGACCTCCTGTTTACATTAGAGGCCATTTCATTTCACCCAACCATGCCATTATTAAACTATAAACCAAATTCATCACGCAATTAGCTTTAAAAGTCAGAACAAGATACTTTTAGCACCCTAGCGCCTTGCCTCCCTCGCTTTAATCAACAAGCAGCTTCCATTTAAATCTCACAAGTTCTCCTTGTGCTGTAAAGTAACTTGTCATGCCTGGGCTGACTTACCGGCACCGAGCAGTAACTATGATTCACTTTCACTGCGATGTTTGGAGGGTACTGATCCTCCTGAGGGGAGCTAGTGTCTGTGTAGCAGATTCTGGAAAGAAATGGGGCACCTTTAAATAGCTCCCTTCTATCTGTGTCCAAATATTACCACCTTCGCCAGCTGCCAGCCAGACCAATCCATGCCAAACCAACAAGCCAGTAATCACCCCCCAGGACCCGGTACACAGCTGTGAAACAGACTTTGATATAACCAGCATCTTCTATCGACATAGCAACTCAACTGGCAGATAGAAAAGATAGAGGGTCAAACTAACGGAAAGCCAAAGTGGATGCTTGTCCCATCCCTGGGAACAAGGGCTTTGCTCAGAGTGATAGTTATTTTAGCAGCTACTGCCCACAGAGTGCTGGCACCGCTGCCATGCTGTGCTCATGCGTTCCCTCCCCCAGAGCGCTGCCTCATGGGTTTAATTAATTCCCTGCCATCCGGACTTACCTTAGCACAACCTGAACCGATTTCACACCGGGTTGCAACTCCCTGATAAAAACAAACAGAAGACAGGATTCCATGTAACACTTTTTTTTTCCCCCAACCAAGTCGCAGAGTTTTAGGTTATTCAAAACTGAAAAGGTGTAAAAAACCATTCACTTGTCAGAGCTTCTCTTACAGAATTCACTGAGTTTGGAAAAGAAAAACAGCTTTCCAGGCCTTGTGCGCTGGCCCCAAGCCGCTGTATTTGGATTTCCAAAAGAACATAAAAGATGGTGGACGAAAAAAAGAAAGAAAAACCCTTGGGGTTTTTGTTTTTTTTTTTTCTTTTTCCAAAATATGATAATAATGGAAACACTACTACTGATGGTAAGTTTTGTGAGACGTTTCCAGCCCACCACACTCACAATCTAGATTATCATTTTAAGAGCTGTTGACAAAGCTATTTAACACCCTCTTTGTTCAATTATTCCATGAAAGACGATTCTTGAAAACCAAAGAATCTGAGTATTATGGCAGGGTCAGAATGACTGTGATGCAGTTAGTTTCAACAGCACGGTGCAGAGAATCCTAGGAAGTAAGGGTTGGAAGGGACCTCAGTCCAACCCCCTGCTCAAGGCAGGGGCATCCCCAACCAGATCATCCCAACCAGGGCTTTGTTGAGCCGGGTCTTAAAAACCTCCAGGGATGGAGATTGCGCCACCTCTCTAGGTAACCTGTTCCAGTGCTTTACTACCCTCCTAGTGAGAAAGTTTTTCTTAATATCCAACCTAAACTTCCCTTGCTGCAACTTGAGACCATTGCATTCTGTCATCTGCTACCACTGAGAACATCCTCTTGGCAACCCCCTTCAGGTAGTTAAAGGCTCCTATCAAATCTCCACTCAGTATTCTCTTCTGCAGACTAAATCAGCCCAGGTCCCTCAGCCTCTCTTCAGAGGTCCTGTCCCCCAGCCCCTGAACCATTTCGTTGCTCTCTGCTGGACTCTCTCTGACTTGTCCACATCCTTTCTGTAGTGGGGGGCCCAAAACTGGACACAGTACTCCAGATGTGACCTCACCAGTGCTGAATAGAGGGGAATAATTGCTTTCCTCAGTCTTCTGGCAACACTTCTATACCGGTGCACAGGATTCTTCTGTCCTAAGAGCAGGAGACTTTGCACTTGTCCTTGTTGAACACCTCGTGAGATTTCTTTTGGCCCAATCCTCCAATTCATCTAGGTCACTCTGAATCCTAGCCCTGCGCTCTAGCATATCTACTACTGCCCCTCAGCTTGGCGTCATCAGCGAACTTGCTGAAAGTGCAATTCATCCCATCTTTCAGATCGTTAATAAAGATGCTGAACAAAACCGGCTCCAGGACTGACCCTTGGGGCACTTCACTTGATACCAGCTGCCAGCTAAACATTGAGCCGTTGATCACTACCCACTGAGCCCGACAATCCAGCCAGCTTTTTATCCACTTTACAGTCCGTTCATCCAACCCGTGCTTCTCCATCTTGCTTGCAAGAATGTTGTGGGAAACGGTATCAAGAGCCTTGCTAAAGTCAAGGTATATTATATCCACTGCTCTCCCCGCATCCACAGAACCAGTCATCTCATCATAGAAGGTAAGCAGTTGATCAGGCATTACTTGCCCTTGGTGAATCCATGTTGACTGTTCCTAATCACCTTCTCCTCCAAGTGCTTAAAGGATCTACTCCATGATTTTTCCAGGGACTGAGGTGAGGCCGACTGGTCTGTAGTTCCCTGGGTCCTCCTCCTTTCCTTTAAGATGGGCAGGCACTATATTTGCTCTTTTCCAATAGCCTGGTACCTCCCCCAGTCACCATAAGTTTTCAAAGATGATGGCTGTCAGCTCTACAATCACATCAGCCAACTCCCTCAGCACCCTCGGGTGCATCCCATCCAGCCTCATGGACTTGTACACATCTAGCTTTTCTAAATAGAAAAGCTTAACCTGTTCTTTCACCACTGCTGGCTACTTGCCTTTTCCCCAAACTGTGCTTCCTGGTGCAGTAGTCTGGGAGCTGACCTTGCCTGTGAAGACCAAGGTAAAAAAGACATCGAGTATTTCAGCCTTTTTCTCATTGTCTGTCACTAGGTTGCCTCCTGGACCCAACACATTCCCTGACCTTCCTCTTGTTGCTAACATACTTGCAGAAACCCTTCTTATTACCCTTCACATCCCTTGCTAGCTGCAACTCCACTCCAATTGCGCTTTGGCCCTCCTGACTTCATCCCTGCATGCCCGAGCAATAATCTTATACTCCTCCCTAGTCACTTGTCCACGCTTCCACCTCTTGGAAGCTTCCTTTTTGCATTTCAGCTCAAAGAGTTCTCTGCCAAGCCAAGCTGGTCGCTTGGCACATTTGCTATTCTTCCTTCACATTGTGATGGTTTGTACCTGTGCCCTCAGTAAGGTTTCTTTAAAATACAACCAGCTCTCCCGGTCTCCTCTCCCCCTCAGCCTGGCCTCCCAGGGGATCCTGCTCATCGGTTCCCTGAGGGAGTCGAAGTCTGCTTTTCTGAAGTCCAGGGTCCATACTCTGCCGCTCTCCTTTCTTCCTTGCCTCAGGATCCTGAACTCGATCATCTCATGGTCACTGCTGCCCAACTGCCATCTACTACTACATTCCCCACCAATTCTTCCCCATCTGTGAGCAGCAGGTCAAGAAGAGCATGGCCTCTAGTTCAACACTTGCACCAGGAAGTTGTCCCTAACGCTCTTTAAAAACCTCCTGGATTGCCCACGCACTGTCAGGGTGATTGATGTCCCCCATGAGAACCAGGGCCTGTGATCTGAAAGCTTTCGCTAGTTGTCTGAAGAAAGCCTCCTCTACCTCATCCTCCTGGTCTGGTGGTTTAGAGCAGACACTCACCACAACATCATCCTTGTTGCTCTCCCCTCCTTAAGCCAGAGTCTTTCAACAGGCCTAGCTCCAGCCAGCTTCATACTGGAGCTCTGTGCCGTCATATGGCCCTTTTACATAAACTGCAACTCCTCCTCTTCTCCCCTGCCTGTCCTTCCTGAACAGCTTGTACCCATTCATGACAGTGCTCCAGTCCTGTGAGCTCCCACCACGTCTCTGTTATTCCAGTCATGTTGTAGTACTGTGACTGTGCAAGGACTTCCACTTCTTCCTGCTGGTTTCCCAGGCTCCGTGCATTTGTGTACAGGCACCTGAGGTAACTAGTTGATTGCCCTGATTTCTCAGGAAGTATGAGAGCACCTCCCCCATTGCCCCCTCCTGCTTGCTCTTCCTCCAGGTCTTCTGCTTCCCCGCTTACCTCGGGGCTTTGGTCTCCATCCCCTGGTGAACCTAGTTTAAAGCCCTCCTCACCAGGTTAGTAAGCCTCTGCAGAGATGCTCTTCCCTCTTTTTGTCAGGTGGATCCCATCTCTTCCTAACAATCCTCCTTCTTGAACAACATCCCATGGTCAAAAGCTGAATCCCTGCTAGCAACACCACCTGTGCAGTCATGTATCAATCTGCAGGATGCATCTGCTCCTGCCAGGGCCCTTCGCCTTAACTGGAAGTATTGAGAACACAACCTGTGTCCCCATCCCCTTCCCCCTTGCACCCAGAGCCCTGTAGTCACTCTTGATCTGCTCAGGGTCTGCCCTGGCAGTATCACTGGTGCCCACATGGATGAGCAGCATGAGGTACTAGCCTGAGGGTAGGGTAGGGCTCAGTAATCCTTCCGGGACATCTTAGATCCAGGCTCAAGGTACACAGCAGACCTCCTGGGACAACAGGTCAGGCCGGCACATAGATCCCTCCTTCCCCTGCAGAAGGGAGACTCCAACCATCACCATCCGTCGCCTACTCTTCCTGGAAGCAGCCTCAATTGTCCACACCTTGGGGATTTCTGGCCTGGACTCTTCCCTCTATGGAACATGCTCCTCCTCCTCTGTTGCTAGTGCACCATGTTTGTTCTCCAGGTAAACCACTGCACATGGGGATGACATCTTTTTTTGCTGCCAGAAGATACAAGCTGCCACCTTCCTGCGAGTCCAGGCCCTCTTCCTCTTCTAGCACCACCTCTGGCAGTCCTTCCACCAGTCCTAGAGGTTTCCTTCCTTCCTGATCTGATATCTTTTATTAGATCAACCCAAATAGTTGGAGAATAGTTATTAAGCAAGCTTTCGGGTTCAAAAACCCTTCGTCAGGCTAAGGAAGTTTCAGCAGTTGGTGTGTGCTCTTCCTGGATGGAATGGAAAGTCATGGCAGAGGATGCTCAGGAGCCTTGCTAACTCCCTCCTGTAGCTCTCTTGCCTTCTCCCTGAGGGACGCCACCAAAAGGCACCGCTCACATCGCAGGCACTCCTCCACCTGGCTGACACAGGAAGGAATCTGCAAGCTGCAGTGTGCACAGCACCAGACCAGGGTGGATGCCACAACCGTGTGTGGCCCTGCCTGGACAGACACCTCACAGGTGGAAGCAGAGGAAGAACTGGAAGAGACAGTGGCTCTGGAATTGCAATGTCCTCCAGCTATGTCTCTGGGTCTCCTAATCTGCGACCTCTCACTTCTTGCCTCTCTTTCCAAGCAGACCTTCCCTGGCAAACTCCTCTGCAGCTGGCCTCTTTACTCTTCCTTGATCTGAAGGGTTCCCTTTTCCCTGCAAACTCTTTCCTCTCAGCAAGCTTATAGTAAAGGAATGCGAGAGGGATTCCAAGCAAACTCCCCCTCACTCTGGACTCTAGTTAAACAAGGGGCTTAAGTCTTGGTCTAGCTGCTGAGTTTTAGCTGCTAAAATAAAACTATGTAGATTAGTCAATCCTAATTACATAAAAAAGCAGCTTATCTTTCAGGCTCCCCTTCCAGGACAGGGGCAGCAAACTGACCAGCAAACTGCTTGCAAACAGTCCTGTTTGTTTCTCTGTTTGCTGCTCCCCTGGTCACTTGGACTGTCCAGGCTCCTTTGTCACACCCAGGCAGCAATCAATCGGCAATCAGTCCACTCAGCTGCTCAGAGCACAACCAAGCACATAAACCCACCAAACAGACCTCAGCAGACCAAGCACACAGGCAACCCTGGCTGAGTTACCTTCCCGGGGCGGGATCTGATGCCTCATGCTTGGTTCCGCTTCCCCTTCCTCCTCTTGCTCCCAGTGAACTGCTTGCAAACTGTCCAGTTTGCTTCTCCCTGTTTGCTGCTATCAAACAGGATTCTCCCTGTTCGCTGCATAGCAAACAGGATTTTAATACATCTCAAAAAAAGCAACATATCAGACTAAACAGGCTTGTTAATAAAGTTGTATACACAGGACAAGATCTATGATTAACTTTTGCACAGGATAAAGTGGAAGTACTAGATTAAACCCAGCATTTTGCCTCGATTTCACAGGGAAGTGTTTCATGTTGTAATCCATCTTTTAACAGAACTCTTTAAAGATAAGAGGTGTCATTTCAGTGTGCGACTTGCAAGGAAGGGAGTTATTCTGGCAATTTTTAGTCAGTCTCTATTCAAGCAGTACCAGAGAGGCAGAACCAACCTTGAATGACCGTCATTACACCTGATCTGAAGCACTCACTAAAATCCCTCCTAGGAGCATGTGCTAAATTCAGATCAGATTACAGATGATTAAAATCCCCTTGCAAATCCAAATATTCTTGGCTTTTCCTTTCTCAACATTCAGGAAACAAAATAAGCAGCCTATTATGTCCTTCTAAAACAGAGGCGGGCAAAATACGGCTCAAGGGCTGGATCTGGCCTCCCAGGCAATTTAATTTGGCCCATGGGCGGGTGCCTACTAATTCACTGTATCCAGCCCAGCCCCCCCCTGCTGTGCTCACATGGGGACAAGCCCCATTCATTCCCGTGGGGGCAGCGCGTGCTGTGCTCCCAACCTCCCCTGCAGGATGGCCCTGACCCTGGCCCCGCAGGTAGGAAAGCAGCATCAGCAAGCGGGCTAAGAGCAGCGGTAGGCAGGAAGGGTGGTGACGGGGAAAAGCAGCAGTGGGGGGAAAAGCAGCGACAGCAGTGGCTGGGCAGGGCAAGTGGTGGCGGCAGTGGCAGGCGGCAGCAAAATGGCAGCTGAGTGGGAGTATGGGGCCTGTGCCGTTGCTGGCAGGTGCCCAGGGCAGGGTGTCAGGAGTGCGGAGCCCAGGCTGGCAGGGTCCACCTGGCTCCACTGCATGGAGCTCCCCAGGGCTCGCATGCAGTTCCTGGGCTCTCTGCCCGAGCCATGTGCCTCTAGAAGAAGAGCACTGCGCAATGAAGCTGGCAGCCTGGCCCTATTCACTGCCATGTGCAGGGCATGGGGAATGGCAGGGACCTCTGCGCTATGGAGCCTGGCTGGCTTTGCCCCTCTCCCTGCAGCCCTAGCTGAGCCCCATGACCTGCACCACAGGCTTCATTGCACAGAGCTCTCCCCAGTGGCACGGGACTCAGGCAGGGAACCTATATACATACACAAATCCACACCCTCGCCTACACACACACATACATAGACCCCCACAAGCCCCATACCCACCTACTACACATCCATATACACCCCCTCTACAACCCCCATACCCACCCACAATATACAAGAGTAAGACTTCATTTTGAGATTTTTATGTGATCACCTCTATATACATTATACAAACACAGGCAAATCAGGACAAAAAAATACTTTTTGATTTTTTTTTCTGGTTCCAAGATGGCACCCCCCTCCCAAAAGAAGTCCTTATGGGGGTAAGAGGAGGGATTTTTGGTGGCAAAGGTCAGGGGCTAGGGGCAGGACTTCTAGTCCCAGGGTGGCAACCAGGAGGCGGGGCACCTGTCAAGGGGCAGGGCTACCCTTGCGGCCCTCAAGAGCTCACTAAAAACTGATTAAGTGGCCCTCCAGCCTAAAGAATTGCCCACCCATCCTAAAAGGTCCACACAAGTCCTCATATACTGTTTCCTCTCTCACTGGGTCCCTGAATGACATTTTCCTACTCTGTTTTCTATCAATCTAGAGCACCACCGCTTTTGAGCACTTAAGTATTCAAGAAAGAAAAAGCCCTCCTCTCCCTCTGACATTAGTACTTGCAGGATTATTTACTGTGGGAAAGTTGGGTCAGGATTTTACATCTCGTTTCGAGGGCTATTTGGTTTGTCGTCATTCTGATCTTTCATGGCAGCGAGTCCCACAGTAACAGGCCAGCTGCAGAGAAAGCTTCATCTCCCACACGGGCGTATTTCACTCTTGGGGTTGAAAGTTATGTCACTGCAGAGGAACGTAGTTGTCATGGTAAGTCCTAGTGGCAGAGCGTGAGATGGTTGCTTAGGTAGCTATTATAAGGATCCTTATAACTGAGCGGCTTTCTTTCAGGCAAGTAAGGTCAATGGCATTAAGCGTATAGCTTTTAACCTGGGATTCAAAAAAGCCACTGCAAACAGATTCACAATGCAGGGTTAAGAGAATTTAAGACATCTATTGATTTCATGCTGTTTGCCCTGCCCAGACTTACTATTCTAGCTGGAGGTTACAGAACTAGGAAAGTTGGGAGACATGAAGGCAAATTGGATAGTGCTAAGAAATTACAGTTTTTAACAGTGGAGAAAAGGTGGCGTGCTAGTGTCCTCAAGCAAGCAGTGCTGGCAGGCAGAAGAGAGACCGGAGAGAGGAAAAACCGTCAGGGACATTACACAAGTCAAAGGCTTTTTTAAACAATACATGGCAAAGAGTACCTGGAATTTCTGATCAGATCCACTTGTCTTGATGTCAGTGCAAAAATGCATGGACTTTCCTGGAGCTTCTCATTATTCTGTGGGACTGAAGAAACAGGAGAGAAAAAGGAGACTTTATCTCCAGTGCATATCAGAGTGAAGCAGAGACCAATCACATTCTTGCTTTCATTGCACTGCTAAACAAGAGGTAAATTCAGTTTGCTTAGGGCTGCATTTGTGTTTGAAAGGGTGCAGAGACTAAACATGAGAGAAGTTCGAGCCTCCCCCAACGGGACTGAAGAGTTGTATGCAAACTCCAAACAAGCATTTTCCTGGCAAGATAAGGAAGCAAGATGCGTGTCAAATGTCTTTATGCCATGCACCGCTGATTAAAACAGACTGTTCACTCCTTGCCTGCCTCTATTGTTGGCCGGGGAATTAAAGTGCTGTGGACTTAAGTCCCATCTATTTTTCAGGACCCTCCCCGTCCCACTTCCATAACCCAGACAATAGGCAAATACTTAAAAATAAAAGCCCATCATGAACGGTACCACAACACGAAGACTAGAATACAGAGAAAAACCTAACAAAGGATGTCAGGGCATTCACAGATGAAACCACTAGACTATGGAAAGGGAAGTAAGCAATTGCACATCAGCTTCGGACAAGATAGCATCAAAACCCCAGCCCCAGAGGGCAAAGAAAGAAGTGTTTACAAAAATATAGAAGGATTGGTGCATTTGTAGGCATGAGAGTGCTGAGATTTACTGACAGATGATATGCTATGCATAATAACTGATACTTTAAAATGTAATGTTTGTTTAACGTTTAGTTTTACAAATAAACCTAATTAAAATTAACATTTAAAACTGATAACCCATGCTAGCTTATAGGAAGTTTAGGTCCCAATTGAAATGAAAAATAATCACACTCAACCAGTATGTACTTGCAAAAAAAGTCAAAACAAAAAAACTGAGGTTTAGGGGGGGTCCGCTGGCTAAGCACCTGCAACTTCAAACGCCAGACTAGCTTCTCTCAGCAATTGCCTCTTCTGCAAGGCAGAACTAATATCTTCTTCCTTTCACTCTAATCAACTAGTTTGGTTCAGCTAGTTTATTCATAGCTAAGGAACTGAGCGGGTATTGGAAAAGCAGGAAAACTGGTTTTCCTCTTTCCAATCTGCGAACAAAAAAAATGGAGATGGGGGCATGAGGTCTATTAGTCCTAAAACCTTGGAGGGCACAGGGACAGAAACAATCAGTGCAGTTAGCTGAAGGTACTCCCTTCATGAATACGTCATCTGTAAATGCAAGCCATATCTTTGTAAAATTACCAGTTCATAAGGAAAAAAAGTAGGCAGCATATTTAAGGCAGTATTAAATCAAAATACTAAAGTGTTATTTTTGCGCGTTTTCAATCATAATCCCTGTTTCCATCCAAATGCAGCTTGACACAAATTGTAAGAACAAATCTTGTACGTTAGAAATGCATCACTTGCCATTTTCTAGCATAGTAAAAATACACAAATTAAACAGGCTAGATCATCCCTTCAAAAAAACTACATTGCCTTGGTTAGTAAAACCACGTATCAAATACAGTAACATGGCAGAGTTTTTGTAAAAACTGAAAAGGTAAAAATACAAAACAAGACTAAAATGATCAATTTTTAAATGATTCCACATGGCAAGAACTCTTCTCTTTAACCAAAGAGATCCCCACCTTCTCTAGAGAACAATGCTGGTGGGCTGACTAACCCAGACTGAGGACACGAGCCTCAGCATCAGCAGTGAAGCTGTGCCCCAACAGTCGCCCACCCAAGCCCACGCAACTGGGAGATTTGGTTTTCACTGAAGTTACAATCTCCAAATAATCCCTCAGCAGCAAGACATCCAGTATGCCGCATACCCTGGAACACAAAACGTGCTTATTCAACAAGCCAAATGGCTGGGGCAGCACTCCAAGAAAGAAGCCCATCCAAGATTACCTCTCCTGCTCGATGAAATATAACGGGGCAATGAATACAGCCAGAATCCGAGGGAGGTAGGACAGCTCTTGCCTGCACAGCACCAGGCACAGAGAGAACACCAATCCTACGCAATCTGAGCATGCAGCCAAGACCACAGAAAAAAGCAATACTAGCCAGAAGCAGAAGACGCTCACTTTCCTCTGCAGCTGCCTGGTTAACGGTGAAAGAAGGAAACCGTTAAGAGACCTGACCTGCACCCCCCTCGATTTTTATTCCTCTCCAAGGATCCAAGTTGGGCCAACTCATCTTTCCTGGATGAAAGCCAGGATGCTCCTCTCATGCACAAATAATGCCTCTATTTGATTGGTCAAAGTAGGCTGCTATGACTTGACACAGTTCTCAACCCTTTCTAGCTGTGAAGAAACCAAGAAATCACACTAGGTCTGACCAGCAGACCCGTATCCTGTCACCAAGCAAGACCAAAACCAGATGCGTGACAGGAATGTGCAGGAAAACACCCTTCGGTAGCTTATGGGATAACGTATTCCCAGGGGGAATTTCTGCTAGATCCACATCAGACAAACATTGATTTATGCTGTGAAATGTCAGGATGGCTACCCCTTGCTTGTGAACACTGAATAGCACAGGAACACTACATCCACAAGGTAAAGCCCTTGCAGTCCAAAATGGCCAGGCACATGCATCTTCACCCAAGAGCAGTCATCAAAAACACGGTTTTTTGGAGTGACCAGCCTTCGACAAACGAGTTTCAAGCAAAAGTCTTTCCTGAAAATGAACTCTTTTGAAATCATGCAATGCATTCACCATTGAGGATAGACCAAAACGGTCAGAGCTTTAAAGCAAGCCCTGGTGAGGATTTCTCAGAGGAGCCCCGATGCACGGAAGCATACTTTGCAATCAAGGCAATGCAGTTGCCTCAGCCACCAAGCCAGACAATCTATTCAAAGCAACTGGGGATAATCTTTGTTGGAGGAAAAAATGTACTGTCAAAATGCTTGCAGCTAGTTAGAGCAGAAATCATACTGCCAAGTCGATATTAAAAGTCTAAGACAAACCAATGCCGTTTACTACAACAGTGGCTGGAACTGCTAGATTACGTAGCTCTGTTCCCACAACGGTCCTACGAGATCCTCCAAGGGAAGTCCCGCTGTCCGCAAGCGCGGACTAAAATTCCTTGCCCCACTGTGTTTTAATATTGCAAAAGCCAGTAACAGCGCTGCCCTACCTGCTAGCATGCGCAAGGATTAATACTCTAAGTACTGTGAGGCACTCGGATATTATGGTGATAGGGATCATGCAAATGCCCAAGAGATAAATACCAAAGTGTTTGTTGGAAGCGGCAGTAGAAAAAAAAAAATCCAATGACTAGAAAAGTCTACACTTGATCCCAGTCTTACATCTGAGATCTTACCAATACAAAAAAGGGGTGATGAATTAAGTAATGGCCACACCTGCTTCATTCCCACTGCCAAACCATGTTAAAAACTGCCCACCCAAGGCAGCTGTGCTGATTTAACTGAACCATTTCTAACCAGAGTGACCGAATTCTCACAACTCTTGTGGGTTTACGGTTACCAAATACTGAATATTACCTGGATCACGCTACACTTAATCTGTTTGCTCCCACAGCTGAAGCCCTCTCTCCAACCGTAACCTGATGCTCGCCTGTCAGGGGAACACTGCCTAGAGACCAAATTAGACATACCCCATCTCACCTTTTCTCTCAAGGTGATAATTTTGAAGAGGCAGGAGAGCCCTTGTTACTTCTCAGCACAGATTAGCTTCCGATTAACCAATATCCTTCCAAGTCAAGGGAATGCACAAATTGCCGTTCCCTTGTTCCCACCATTACTACTGTGCTTTCAAATTCTCTCTTCCGTTGTGGCCCATTTCACCAGGCCGCATCAGTACTTAAGTACGTATCAACATGATCTTTAATCTCAGACTTGTCTTGGGTATTTCTAAAACACAAGGAAAGGAACAGAGTTTTCAAGGGCAGCTCTGGTTTAGATACAGAAGCTGCACCAGTATAGCAAACGGTACGTCCGCAAACAAAAGTTTAAAGTGGTGCAACATCAATACACACAACCCTTTCTTCTTGAGGACTACCTCATCATTCCACCCCAACCTCGCCAAGCAGAGCTCCACGGAAATGTAACTTTTCTTCACTATTTTCGCTTCCTCCAAAAATATCATCACCACAATAAGTACTTAAAGCCCACTTTCTACAGAGCATGGTTTTACGAGGGCACCAAGTAGCACTGCTTAGCGATGACAAACAGAATCTTGTTGAACCAAGTACAAAGGCTGGTCACAAAGATGTCTGTCGCTCCTCCTAGTGTTAATGCTTGAACCAGATCTCTGCAGAGATGCCCAGTCTTCTCTCAGTTCCAGTTACTGAAATGAAATGGCAGGGCCAAGCCACACAGATGGCCCTCATGTTTCCTACCCCACATTGACAGTGGTGTGTGGCTGTATATTCCCAGCTTCCAGGGCTTGGAAAATGAAACTGAAATCCAAACATGTCTTGTATTGTAGATTGTGAGCAATAAGTCGAGACACCAAAGATAACGAGCATCTGTTCACCACCTAAGTACTCTACACTAATGAAGCAGAAGTTGCACTTATCAAAAGAGAAAATTAGTCAAATGTGCTTCAGGGAACAAGCTGACTCTCGGGAGGTATTAGCTAACATTGGGGTAGGATACTAAGTCTAACCAAACCCATGATCCGATGTCACCTAACACATTTTCAACTCTTATAATCAGGATAAATAGTTTTCTGTTCCTATTTCTCATCTGTAGATATTTCCACTCTTTTTCTCTTTGGAGCCATGAACAGGAAATGAGGTTGTAGCTAAATATATGTATTTTTTTTCCTGCAGAAGATTGGATCGCATTCAATTTGCATTTCTGATGGAGCACAACCTTGAAGCATGCTGCATTCAGAAGCAAATTCATCAATTTCTAAAGCTCTAGCATGTGTGTAGTTAACATACAGTTTAGCCTGTCAGCATCAGTTACCACTTGTCTAAGGTATGACAGCCTCCAACCTTTGTTGCTGTCACATGAAGCCTGACTCACAGTCAGTAGATTTTTTTAAATTTTAAATACTGGTGAGCAGTTCAGAAACTAAGAAATATGGAAAATAGGAGTAAACAGGGAAAAATCATGCAGCATTGCACGAAGGGCAATAAACATATGGAATACGTTATCAGGAAAGGCAATTGAAACAGAGGATATAAATAAGCTCTAGGGATATCCACAGTGGCTTGAGAAGGCGGAAGGGAGTGAAGGTACGATGAAAAAGCAGGAAGATGGGATTAAGAAATTATGAACGTGTAGCCACATTGGGCCAGACGGCTGTTTCCTGTTTCTAAAAATTTATGTTCTCCTGATTTAAAGAGGACAGTTTAAGTATTGTCGAATTGTGGTAAGGCAGGTTTTGCAGAGCCACATAACATGGTCAATGAAAGTGCTTTTCAGGTCCGCATTAGAACAAACTCCGCACTCCTCCTTGGCCAGCACGACAATGCTGTGCAGTAGTGGCCGTCTCCCAGGTCTTCTTTCAAATTTCCAACCCACGACCCAACACTGCAGCAGTTCATCCACCTGCACGAGGGTAAAGTGTCATTTCTTTCATCTATCACCACTGCTTTCATGCTCATGCACATTAGAAATGTGCCTTTTCAGCAAAGGGAGATCAGATTCCCAAGTTCTGCCTTTATTTTGCTAAAATAAAAGTCTATGTCGGGTTGCACACTGTGTCTATGCTTCAGTCAGCAGTGGCTTCCAATAGCTCTCCAAGCACAATTCAAGGTGCTGGTCTTGACCTATAAAGCCCTGTGTGGCCTGGGACCTACACAGCTAAGGGACTGCCTCCTCCCTCACACTCCATCATGATCCTTAAGGTCAGCCGAGAACAACCTCCGTTCACCAAGTTTGCTTGGCCAAAACGCACAGGAGGTCATTTTCAGTTGCTGGTCCCCAGCTCTGGAACTCCCTTCCCTTGGGGCCTGCCAGAGCCCGAGCCTGGCCATCTTTCAGAAGTGGTGTAAGACGTTTTCATTTGGGAAAGCTGTTATCAACGTGGGGTTAAGCTCTGGGTATTTTTTGCGGAACAGTTGTATTACTTCATCTGTTTTTATTACTTTATCATCATAGGCTGTCCTGAGCCTCTTTGGGCAAGGCGGCACAGAAATCAAATCAAATCGAATAAATCAGTACAAATGCTGTAAGTGAGGCCTCATGTTACCAAGCTTACTCCATGGACAACTGCACATCCACGTACTTTGAGGAGTCCCACGGCAATCAGGAGAGAAAAAAAAAAAAGGGGAAATGGGGGAAAGAAAAAAGAAAGGCCTATACTTCCTGCAGAACCTGCCACCAAAACTACACTTCACCCAGGCACACCTATGCTTAACACTGCTCAGCAGCGTTCCCTCTAAGCTGCATGGCATGTGCGGCCGCACAGGTGTCCTCATGCCGTGCTGCCAGGTGCACCTGCGTGGCCGTGTACACCACACAGCTTAGACGGAATGCTGCTACTCAGAACTACAATAGCGCAAATGCAGTGTCCAGTTATCTGGGCTCCTAGTTGGGAGAAGATGCTTATTTCACCGTCCAGGTTATTCTAGGTGTCTCTCAAAAACACAAGGTCCTGAACATACAGAACTGTGACTGGTCTATACAGAGCATGCCTACTATGGAAGCCATCTTCTTTCCCTTATGGCAGACTTTCAGTCTGCTGGGCTACGTACAGAACCAACTGGCACTGATACAGAAAGGGACAGCGCTCCTGTTCAGCACGCTTGTGACATTGATGCAGAAAGAAGCTTCCCCCCTAATATACTGCTCCATTAGCCAGAGCAGGGATAGATTATGATTCACTGCGTGAGGATGCAATGCTACCAGGCAGCATTTTCAATGAAGGATATAAAAGCTCCGGCAAAACAAGACAGGCTTTACATTACTTATCAAGATGACTGCAGTTCCTGTTTTAAGGTAAAGGGAATATAAGCAGAAACAAATAAATCTATATTTAAAACATTTTGAACAGACACCCACCAGAATAGGGTTCATTGGGTCCCTCCCCCACTCACATGGCCGCACTAATCGCTAAGAACACTGTCATTGTTTCAAAGCCTGTATGCTTTTTTCACACACTGTTCCCCAAATGAGCCCTTGGCACAAAGCCTGCGTCTGGGTACAAGACTTACCTAGCTCGGTCGGCTTCAGCAGTTCATCCAAGATGTTATAGAAGGGCAGTTTCACCAGCCGAACTTCGGGCTTTACAACTTTGGGCGGTAACCTTCCCAGTCCATTAAGGTATTTTCCATAGATCGCAGGATAGTCAATGTTAGTAGTGGAGATAGAAGTCCTAGCAACAGTGCTCCCCCGGTCATATGAAGAATGTATGGAGAGCGTTTCAGGAGGTCGGTGCGGCTGCTGCTGCTGCGGCTGCCCAGACTCGGAGCTCTTCTTGGCATAACGAGTCTCATAGAGCTCTTTAATCTTCTTGAACACTTCCGGGCTACAGTCAAACTGGACCAGCTGCAATGCTCTGGTGACCAGTTCGTGTTTAAGTCCGCTTTTACTCCTGCCGACATACCCCAGTAACATCTGAAGATCCGACACTCTGAAACTCATCACCATGTTCTAGGGAATAAAGACGAAAAGTCAAGTCAAAGATTCTTATGGTTATAAATAGATTGTGTGACAATTCCCTCCACAGTCTGTAGCCTGGAATCCAAAATCCTGACGTTCACTTTCAAGAGCGACACCTAGCCTTCTGCTTAGGTCAGCTGCTGTTCACCTGATTAACATGCTGTGCGTTAGACACTTATCTGGACAATGGAAGTGAGCAGGAGACCATCTACTGAATTATCAACCTATTGATACAGATGAGCGATGGCACAAGCTCATCTTTAAATTACCACAAACATTTGTAGCCTCATGCTGATTTTAGTGCAAGCAATAGCAACTATACAGTAACTCAGGAAGACACCGAGTGGCTTTGCACCATACATATTCATGGCTTAGTTCCTTCTTTCAAAGGAAGGAATTAGCCCTACCCAATAGCTCTCGTTCCCTGCCTGGCACCTGGAAAAATTGTGTGCGTTTTGTAAAAATGCCGTTGGGTCTGGATGTATTTTGATGTCATCCTACATTAAAGCAAAGGCAACAGTTAATGTCAGTAGTGGAGATAGAAGCTCTAGCAACAGTGCTCCCCCGGCTGTATGAAGAACGCCCTGTTTTAAGACTCTGCCACATCTATCCCAGTGTTATCAGCACTGCCTGCATGTGCAGGAGAATTCTCACATGCCTGTTTTAGAACTGAAATGCTAACAAGCCACAGAATGATGCTCAAGAGGTTTTCTTGGAGCAGGAGGTAGGAAGACAGGCCAGGCCATCAATGACATTCACAGGGAACCCTCTGGTCAGAAACCCAGGTCTTGATGCTAGACATCCTCAGCATCTTCCCTCTTTCTGCCAGGATGTATTCTCTGGACTCTGTTTGAATATTTAATCTTCAAAGCAGTCTCTGGTCACTGCAGTCTGATGTTTTTAAAGAATCCTTTCTACTCAGTCTTCCTGTGCCCACGGGAACAGTTCCTTTCCTTATCACCCAGGACTTCTTATCCTCTGGGTGAGAGCAGGACCTATCAGATTGCCAAATGGGCAAGGATGCCAAGGGACTACTTGCTTCTCTGGCTCATGCCCAGCCACCCCTATGACCAGGCCCAGTGCCTGCTTCGCTACTGTTCTAATGGAGCACCATAAAACTATTAAGTTAAGGTAGACCCAAGGTTTTCAAGACCATTTAAAACTAGCCAATCTCCTCAATTTCAGCTTCTCATGCTTGTGGAAGTTCAGAGAGCCTATAACTGTTCATAGATTCAGGAAGACAACGTTGCATCTGTCTACATTGGAAAGCTTATCTGCATAAGAATAAGAGCTTTTTAATTAAAAGTAGTGCTTAGATTCAGAGATTGATCATTCTGACCCTCCTGACTACCAAAGACAATGTCACAAGTGTTCAGGGTGAACCAATGAAGTGCATTTCCAATAAATGCAAACTGCCTTGAAAATGTTTCGCGGGCACCTACGTTTATCACTTCAATGTACTTCATGTTTTATACACAGTATTCTACAGCAGAAGATGAAATCGGAGAGCCAGTAATGATCTTTCCATCTGAAGTCAGATTAATCTACGCAAACCAGCTGATAGCAGTATTCTTGTGATTCTCTGAAGAGGGACAAACTAATTTTAAAATAAAAAAAAATGAAGCAAGACCAAAAACGTTCACTTGCTGTGTTTATTTGTGGGAAGTAGTATTCAGCCCAGAAAGACCTAACGTTATTTTATTTTTCTCAGTTTGCTATGAAAGCCTCTAACTTCTTGGTTCACTGAAGAGGTCACAGAACTCAAACTCGCTGGCTGGACCGAGACGCCGGGTAGCCGAGATGTTCTGGAATTTCTTCTGACAAGGGGGAAAGGGCTTTGGAGAAAGTTCAGTTGCTTGAACACTTGTCTTAAGACTTGGGAAACCTGGGTTCATTTCCCTGCTTCACTACAGAGCTGTTGTGTAGCTCTGGATGAGTCATTTGGTCTCTGTGCTTCTGTTCTTCGTCTGCAGCATGGAAAAAAATAGGACTTTGCCACCCCGCAGAGTTAAGATAAAGAAACGTTAAAGACTGTGAGATGCCTACTGCAAGAGAGTCAAAAACACCTCCAAAAAAAGCTATTCCTGCACTTACTGTTCTTGCCTTCAGATCACTTGGGGCACCAGGAGCATAAAACAGTTTACATTTACGCAGTTTATATTTAGAAGCGTTTCAAGTCTTAAAAACCACAATCATGATTTTTGAACAATAAAAAAACCAAAACATTTAGGCACAGAGAAAAACAGCTCACGAGACGCTTGGGTCACTCACTCATCAAGGAGTGGGTACAAATACAGGTTTCGTTAGCTAACGAGGTTATTTCAATATCAATGCAGATGCAGGCTTTCCCATAAACTAGGAGGTCGTGTGGACGAGGGGCACAGAAGATGGCAAGTTCCAGTCTGCCAAGCCCACAGATTCACACAAGTTTAGGGCTGGAAGAGACCTCACAAGATCATCTGGGCAGGAAAGACGGCTGGGCTCACACGTCACCCCCGCGCACCTTCGATGACCAACGTGTCCACAATGCCTCCCATCAGAAGAGCAGAGGGATCAAACCACCGGCATCCGTCCTTCAATCCTTTTGCCACTTTTCAATCCTGCCACGTCTCAGGCAGCGCCGCGAACCCTCAGCTGCCCCGGGCGGGCGAATTCCTTCCTTCCAGCCTAACCCGGCCGTACGCCGAGCACCTTCGGCTGTCGCCGGGTAAGAGCGGCGATTTGACGGGAAGCTTTGCCTTCGAGCTCGACCCCGGGTGCGTTCACCCACTTCAGACACACCAGGGTATTGCACAGTGGGGCTGGACCACAAAGAAGAGCTTGGTGCTATATACGAGACAGAGCATCCCTTATATATACACACACAAGACTACATATACGGGATGCTTTGGAAAACTAGACACGTTTTGAAAGCCCCTCGATTGAAATGCAAAGGTCGCCGGGACCCTCGACACCATCCCGCGCCGCACGCTCATCCCCGAAAGCTCCCCCGGCCTTCGACGCGGACCTCGGCAAAACCATCCGGGGAGTGGGAGTGTTCGGCCGTGAATTTGTCCGCCGGGAGGTATTTGGACAGCTCCTCGCAACTCGCGCCAAAAGCCTTTCCAGCGGAGGACGTCTGCCCGCCATCGCTTGGGGCTGGTCCCCCTCGCAGCCCCGCCAG